ACGGGTTCTCCTTGGAGAACTGCATGTGCAAGTGCTTCTGCATCTTGCGCAGGTCTGAGATTCTGTGCGGACACCAGAACCGATACGTTCTGACACAGAACCCACACGCTTTCATTCTGGCTACCCTCAAAACCAATTACTCTAGACGCAGTAGACCAAACAGTTTTACCCGTTTTATCTCGCCTAAAGCAAACCACGTCTCCCACCGAGTACGTGTACGGCAACGGTTTTGCATTCCTGAGGAGTGCACGCTGCACGCGTTTTGAGGTGTCCAAGTGGACAAAAGCTTTCTTGGCTTCTGCCCGTGCCTGGTGAACTAAGGCAAAACGACTCTCGGGATCGACCTGGTCGTTTAACGATCCAAGATCGGCAGTGTTGTCCTCCTCTACTAAAGATGGAGGTCCACGCGGTGTCTTCCCGAGTACCCACTGAGATGGGGAGTAACCTCCATGTCTCAGCATGCTGTTCTTGGTGAGACAACACTCATCCAAGACTGTCTGTAACGCCACCTCGCCTACGGCTTGTATTTGCGATACTACCTTGCGAGTCATCGCTTTCAGGATTCCGCCGTGGCGTTCCACTCGACCAATCGATTCGGGTGTTTCCAATGGCGCGTGGTATACTTGGATACCATGAGCCGCGCAAAATTGCGCCAACACGCCTCGATTATGTAATCCACGGTCACACCGTATAATCGCCGGCATACCAGCCCATGCGGTCCAACGGCGTTGGATAGCCTCTAGACAGCGAGCTGAAGAAGGCAATCCGTCGCCCACGCGTACGGTCTCCGCAAGTTGGAAACACGTTCCTAAACACACCATATTCATAACTTGATACTTAGTGCCTTGCGCATCTAAGCATTCAAAGATATCAATGCCTAGGGCGTGATTAAAGGAATACCGTTCCGGCATGGATACGGTGTGTGCGTTCCTACGAGGCTGGGCGTCTTCGTATTCATTGCACCTATGAAATTGAGCCGCCTCTATGTACGACTTATCGATTCTAGCGGTCCTTAAGAGGTTAACTAGAACCTTCTTAGGGCAATGGCCGAACTGGCGGTGTAACCGTCGGATCGCTACACGAATCCGTTGTGGTACTGCTCGCCAC